TTTTTTCTGGCCTAATCTCTCTTTTCTTGTCAAATAAAGTACAATGTTTGAGAGTGAGTCCCAAGTAAACTTCGAGAAAACGCCCTGTAATGGCCCTCTGGGTGCAAAGCACTAAGCACCTGTAATGCAAAAAATGAACAGGTTGGAGACTATTACTTAAACTGACGTTCCATCCATGATGCTGTCCATATTGTTATCAAAAGATTTCTTTCTGACTACTCGTTGGCCATAGCATCTCTTGATTTAAAGGACATCTCATGCAGTGATCGCACTTAAGAGCAGCTTCGCAAAAATATCAACTAGGCTTGGAAATAGCGAAAAAATCGAATTTCTTCAAACTAGCCCAGAATGAAGCCCTACGGGCACTAGTTACTAAAATGTTGTTTTAAGTTCCATAAATCAAAAATTATTTTTTTACGCAATTTTTTTCTATTCCATGCCCCAAATCGGCAAAAAGCGATCGAAAACGAGTGGTATATTCAGACGCTTGTAAACTGAAAAGAAAAAAAATTCATTACAAACTGATTCCACGTCGTATTTGTACTTTCGTTCTTGTATGTTTAGAGCTAAATAGGTCGAGATTTTATTAGAACTAAAGTATTTGACGAATTTTCTAAGTTAACGACCCAACACAGCTTAACAAGAGGTCTACTTTTACCCTATTTTCAAATGCTAAAAAGGCGTTCTGGTGCACGGCTTTCTCCAAAACGATAGTCTGTCCTGAAAGATTATTTTTTCTTCTTCAGATTTGTAGAATAAAATTTTTTGCTAAATATAATCGCGAGCGCTGAGATAGCGAACTAAATGCAGCACTTCTTCCCGAAAACGTGACATTTGACCCAGGCGTAACGAAACCGATTACTGCAAGAAAAGCAAACGCTTTGTTATTTTGCAACATTTTATAGTGATATCTCTCCGAAACCATCACTGCAAGAAACTATATTTCCAGATATGAAATCTTACAGGGTCAAAGGAGGAGCTAAAAGGCACATTTTGACACAAGAACTTTGTTTGCTGCGAATTGGAGGTCAATTACCGTCAACGTATTCCAGTGAAATTTGCGAACTTGAAGTATGTTAACCGATACTTACCTGAATATTTATATTTATAGCAGAATCGTCTTCTTGGATTAACCTTCAAAAGAAGTTGAATCCAGATTTGGAAACCTCGAAAACAAGAAATGTTTAATGTTCCGTTACCTGCCCGCTGCCTTAAATTCCATGTACATGCCGACCGCATGTTTGTTGTAAAACAACCTGAACTCCACTGACAGTTTCCATAGGCAACCCCAAAATAAACAATCTCCCAAAATGTAAAGTGAGATTGGCTGTCTTCATGAACAGTTAGAAGCTAGAGTCAAGTTCTATTAGCTTTAAAAAGTGCTTGATTTTACTTTATTCGCTCAGTATTTCTTACTGTCACGTTCAAATACCACGAAATTGGTCACGCCAGAACACTGCAGACCGTGCAGACTGAGTACTTTTTTTCTTACACTTGTTTGCGCCTTTAATTTTGACTCTCATTCTTTTTGGCTCTAGTAACAAAATAGTGTTTAACATATCTGAGACCACCTGAATGCTTGTTACTAATCCACAGGTCGCACAAGCGCAGTATGTGACTTTTGATTCAATAGACAAACGCGTTAAAGACTTTGTATGGGGAATTCCCTTTAGTCGGCCTAAGTATGTTAAGTAAAGTTTTTAATGTACAAATGATCAGAAAAAACTTCACTTGTAAAGTGATGTCACACGTGACATAACACTTTGACGAGAGAAGATCAAGGTATAAAGAGTACCTTAAGAGTACCTTGATCTTCTCTTGATTTTTTACTTCAATTTACTCCCCACCGCCCTCTGGACAGTGCTGGTTGTCAGGAGTATATGAATTGTACAAATGGCCAAATAATTACTTCTAAAAGAGATTTTATAATATAATTGAGATAGTGTGCGCGCTCCCATTGATTGGTCGATAGGCGTGTTTAAATGAACGAATGTAAACACGGTTGCACCTAACGTTTTAGATTCGCACGTATTTTTAAGAGCTATTTTATAAAAGCAATAAAGTATTTTTTCCGTGTTTACGTAGCTTCATCTAAACACTCGGGGAGTTGAAAGAATTCTCAAAAGTTTTGCAAACCCTCGACCTGCGTGTCGGGTTTTAGTAACTATCTCGAAATCTCCCAGCCCCTCAAGTGCTTGGATGTTTTAGATTCGCACGTATTTTTAAGAG